CCGGCACCAGCAGAGTGGGATGCAGCAGGGCCTGTGGGCTCTCAGCAGGGGAGCTCAGCTCTGCAGGGCTGCTGTTGGCAACTGCTGTTCTCCATGAGGCCGGCCTGAGGTGGGCAGGTCTCCCCAAAACTGCTGCTCTGAGAGGGGTCTGGGGGGCAGCGGTGGTGCTCGTGCTCAGCCGGAGCCTGGAAACATGAACCCTCAGCCCTGCAGAGGGGATTGCTGCTTGCAACCAGGGAAAGCGTTCATTTTCAGGTGGGACCTTCCAGGGCAGCCTCTCACCACCTCCACCGCCTGCCCTGCCTGGCCTTCGCTGTGCCTAAGCCCTCCCTGCTCTGAATTCAGGGTGGCTGGGCTGAGTGCTCCTGGAAGATGCTGGAGCAGCTCAGGGCTGGGTACCGCTGTGGCCCATCCAAAACCCGCCAAGGCCAGGGAGAGGTGTTTCGCTGGCTCAGCCAAGCTCTGGAGAAGCACTTGATTTCTCTCTGCTGCACTTGAGCACATGGGATGTTGCCAGAGGTGCCAGTGGGGACACTGGTGGCCCCATCGTGGCATGGCTGTGCAGCACATGGTCCCCACCTTCACCCAGGTCTGTCTGAGCCAGCACTCCCAGCCAGGCTGGGGGGAGCTGGGGAGCGAAGCGGGGTGCCGAGGTGTGTGCAGGGGGTGCGGGGACTAAGGCAGCACATCCCCGGCCCTGGCTCACGCCCGGGAGAGGCGGACGGGGTAGGTGACCATGTTGAAGCTGTCCCAGGCGAAGAGCTGCCGCTCAGCGGGGTTGTAGTCCACCATGCTGAGGTAGCGGAATCGGTTCTCGAAGGGGATGCTGAGGGCCCGGCTGGTGCTGGTGGTTGTGTCGTAGGCAAAGTTGATGGTAGCATTGGGCGCCGAGTAACTGCTGACGGTGTAGAGGGTGCCACAGATGACAAAGGAGTTGGCCACCCCCCGCTTGCGGATGTTGGTCTCCCAGGTCCGCCGGATCTCCAGCGTCTCAGGGTCCAGCTTGGAGAGGACGATGGCCCCCCTGGCCTTCTCGGTGCTGTAGATCACCCAGAGCCCAGTCTCATCCACCGCCAGGTCTATGTCGGTGTAGCCCCCCCAGGAGTAGGGGTACTGCCCATGGTAGCCGGCGCCCGGGCCCTCCTTCTCGGCCCTGGGAGGCTCTCCCCGCAGGCCCTACCGAGCCCCGCGGCGGGAGTGCGCGCGGTAGATGACAGCTCCCGTGCTCTCCAGGGGCCGCGGCAGGATGTGCACCTTGGCAGGGTAGCCCCGGGCCAGCTGCTCGGCCGCCTCGTACTGGAAGAGCTGACGGACCTCTGTGCCTACTACGTCCGCACGCCAGGTAGTCTCCCGCGTAAAGGGGGGCACGGGCTCAGGGTCCTTCATCCACACGCCGTACTTGCCCGCGATGGAGTCTGCCCGGCCGAAGACAACGGGCTCCCCCACCCACACCAGCTCGCCGCAGCCTGCTTGGGGACAGGAGGGGAGAGAAAGGGGTTATCACTCAGTGGCACCCAGCGACCTCTTTGAGAGGGCCAAGTGGTATTTGTGAGCAGCGGAGCATGGGGCTGGCCGGCCGTGCCGGTGGCAGTACCTGAGTCCTCGCTCCCTGGGCGGCCGAGCGCGGGCTCCTCCATGGGACACGGGAACCTCCGTCCTCTCCGACTGCAGCTCCTGGTAGGTGAGGGGCTGCGGGTCCCAGCGAGGGGCTGCAGCGGGGCCAGGCACAGTGTGAGCAGAGGCCTCACCGCTGCGCCTGCCGTCGTGGGGCTCCATGCTGGACCATCATCCCCCCCAAAACGCCAGCACCTCAGTCAG